TTTTTTTTTTTTTTACTAAATAAATACAATGGCTAAAATCCAGTTTACAAATCTCATCTCATGCATAGGGGTGTATGTGTTTTGGCATGGGGGAATGCATACCGAAAAAACACAATTTTTTTCCTGTAAGAGGTCTTACCCTGTCAGGAGCAAACAGTAACATGTAACTTGCTTATTCATTTGTACAATTAAATACTAACTTTTGCTTAGAGACAATGTTATGCTATAAAGTATTTTAATATCAGTAACAATATACACTATGAAGTGCACTTGTATTACAAATTAACATGGTGATATACAGATGAACAGAACCACCCAAAACAAACCATAAATGAGCAACAGTTAAAACATTAAATTTATAAATAGCAAAATCACAAAATAAAGTATATACATATTATAGATTTTACCTTTGAACAAATATATAGTGCATCTGGGAAAGACAAGAAAACATGTTTTATCATATAACATTTGTATGCTAGAAATGAAGACACTGGTAATTTTCTAAAAGCCTTGCAAGCTTTCTCCCACTTAATAGTCCCTTAAATGTATATCCTTTAAAACAGTGATATTGGCAAAACTATCACCTCTTGAAATGCAATGTTTTGACTTTGCCCAGCAGGGTACAATGGCCTGCAGAACAGTAAATAAGAGAGGAGGCACTCCATGCTTAATCCTGGGGTAAGAGAACTAGCAAATTCATAGTTTATATATGAAAAGTGCTTTAGTCAAACATACACTGACATGAAAACCCAACCAAAACAAGTACCATATTAAAATGTCTTCACCTCATCTTGCCCACTTTTGCCCTTAGCTTTTGAGATGATTGGTGAATCGGCTACTAAGAAAAAAACCTGCTGTTTGAATGCAGTGTATTTTGTGACACAGTAATAAATTTGAGCTTTTACTACCAGAAAAATTTATCTTTAAGTGCCAGTACTATCACAAGACAAACTTTATGAACAACTCAAAATGTATAAAACTTTTGTGGATCCCAGAAAATAAGCATTTGAGACTAAATATTAAAGGGTAAATGCCCCAACACCATGCACAGATCAACATAATTGAGAACAGATATTTTACATTCTTCTGCATTTCTTTTAAAAACCAAAAAAGTTAAATGTACAGTAACTTTTCAGAAACTATTTCTAGTGCAGCACTGATTGATAAAAGATTGCTTACGGAAAACTATTTTGGACTGCATTGAATAAAGCTGAAAGGCAAACTCATTACAGTAAATGATCATTGAGAATTGATTTAGATATCAGGATGCACAATAAAGTTAAAAAAAAAAAGCCTAAGGCTGTTCTTTTAGTTTAAAAAAAAACTAAGCCTGTATTTCTGCAATTCATTGAGTCAAGTTCTGTCCTCTGAAACACCACAGTTAACATTCTGAAATATATAATATGAATTCACTTACTCTCTGTATTTAAAGGCTATTTCTTATAAAATTCCAGTTAGTACTGTCCTACAATGGAAAAGGAACCAAATAAAACAGTAGTATTTCATTTGGTGCTTAATAGCCTAGTAATACCCCTTTGGGAAACACATGCTTTGGTGCTTACGATTTCAAGAAAATCAAAATTGCTTTACATGCAATAGCTAATTATAGTATACCACAGAAAACGGGGGGTTTTATGCATTTAGAATTGTTCACATGAAGCCCTGAGGTACCCGCCTTTCATTTAGGCAACGAACGGCCTCCCTTGATCTTGTATAGTCTTTGTCACCATCTTCCCTAGTGCCCCAAATTCACAATGGTCTGATTAACAATCCTGTCTGGAGATACAGTCAATTTAATAAGACTTTTTATGATACAGACTGCTCAGATCGTCTAATTTTGAAGCACTATCATCTAGTGGAGTTTCACTCGAAGTTCCCAGGTCTCCATTTTCATGTGCATCAGTTACTGCCTTCTTATTAAATCCTGAAAGAAAGGAAAAGAAGAAAAGCGATACTTTCTGGTCTAAAAAAATTTTAGTTTTATAATTTTACTGTGCAAAAAACAAAGGAATGTCCACTGTAATTAGTAGTTTTAATATGAGGGAAAATAACAGGGCCATACATTAATCAAGTTAGCAACTCAGAACAAGAGAATTCTTCCTTCTTATGGCAGATACCAAATATTGTAAAGATTTTAAAATATTTATTAGATTTATCTAAAAATTGTACTAAATTTCCTATCAAGTTTTCTATGAAACTTAGAATTGATGCATATAATTGTAAAATCCAGTCAATTCTACTTACACAAATATCTACCGAATTGTGAATTACATTTTTATTTTACATTTTTGCTTTCGTATCACTTTATTTAACTTCAGTTCAGAGGCATGTACTAGTTGATCACTAAAAATCTAGTTTGTTGGCAAGATGATGTCTAGCTAAAATTTAAAACTATTTTTGATTAATCTACAAAATAGATAATAGGCTTGTAAATAAATGTTGGCTGCATTACCTATTTAGTTAGCTATGAAGTATGGAAATGTACAAAACAATAACCAATAGATACTTTTCTTGTGATTTGAGTCAGCTAACAGTGATATCACACAAGCATACATTTTTGGTTGAGACACATTTTAAGTGTCTGCAATAGGTGACAGAGAAGCTTTCTAGCCTCAGTTGCAAAAAAAAAAAAGGGACCCGTTTTCTAATCCTGACAGAAAACAGCAAAAAGGGTACAATACAATGAAACCACACAGAGAGCAGCGCAACAGTGTACAGTTTTGACATACTGTCACCATAGGTTTGCTCAAGATTCATGGTGAGAACAATAATTGCTACTGCTGTCGTTGTGTAGACAATTCATAACACATAGGTTTACCAAAAGGGAAGCAGGTCATCAGTTCATCATAAAACTATTCCAAGGGTTCTCTCAACTTTTTGGTCTCAGGATGCCTTTACATT